ACAAGTTTTGCTCAGTTTTATGCAAAAAGAGAATTGAAACAGCAAGAATCTGTAGGACAATATGAATTTGCTATTCAGGACAGCAAAGTAAAAATACATTAAAAAGCACATTAATACTATATTTTAAAAAGTAATTAGCTTATATATTGAAAATAATGAATTTAAAGTTTTCAGTACCTGAAGTTCCAACAGCTAAGGCAATAAAGTTGTGGCATCATGTGAACTCACAGATGCACTCAGGGGCTTGACATTTTAATGCCACCTGTTAGACCTACGTTGACAAGTTTGTCTTGTGTGATATCCCCATTAAACATTTAAACATAAAAGTTTTAACCTCTGAATAATCATGACCCAAAATGTAAACGAAGTTGGCTTTTCTCACACCCATCTTCCAGAAGTACTTTAACTGTTAGAGCACTAGAGCTGAATAAGCAGTGGGAGCATTCTAGAGACATGGAGAATTCAGATGAGGCCATATATCTCCACCCTATTTAAAGGCTGAGCCTGTTCTCTTTCCCCGCATGCTGCCATTTTTTGAAAACTTGTTTCTCATCAAGGTATTTATTTAATACAGTATTTCTTTATCTGAAGCAAGTAAAAGAACTAACGTGAGTTTTTTCTGAACTGGAAAGCTACTCCAGTGAGTTTCTGTAATAAACCATTTAGATCTTTGTGAGATGGGCTTTACCCAATGGCTGGGTCAGGCAACCAGGCTCAGATACCACGCAGCGCTCAGTATCATGGAGACAGCGTGCACAGAGCAGCTGATGGACATCAGTCATGAACGTAGATGCTGATGCCTGTATATGACAAGCAGATAACTTCCCCATTTGGTGAAGGAGGCATTGCCTAGGCTCAGGGGGAGGATCCTTTTTCCTATGCTCCTTCTTGATTTATTTTTTCCTCAAGTACTGGTGCTCTGCTGTTAGTGGAGCTACCTATTTCTGCCTTGAAAAGGTTCCTTCCAGACACCAGGTTTAACCCTCCTTCCACGTGCCCGTCCTGGTGCCCGCACGCAAGAGTGGCAGCCGGCAGCCCAGGCTTGAGGTGCCCACCCAGGAGCCGGGGGCCCCGGGGCTGCTCTCCTGCTCGCGCTGCTGAGGCAGTCGGCAGAGAGGTCCTCACTGCGGACGTCTGCGCCGCAGCCCCGGCTGCCGGGCAGGGTGTGGGGCTGAAACACTCGGGAGCAGTTCCTCAAGTTCATGACAGCCCTGGGTTTGGGGAAAATAGAAAGAAAAAAATCTAATATTTATTTCTATTAAGATTCCAATTGATTCCACAATTTGGAACTACGTGAATGGAAAGATCCCATGAAAAAAACCATGAAAATTACTTCAAAAGGGAAGTGTTCATAACTGGAATGGAATCTAATGGAAAATAAAATAAAAATTCAGGGAATAGTTTGTTTTATCTCCAATTCTAAATATAAGATTGAATAGGAAATTTTCATTTTGTAATCCTCGTATTTATGTTTCCTAAGAAAGTAAGATCTGTAGCTACAATGTTTTTATGATTTTCTTGGTGGTTTTCACTTACAAAATGAAAAGGAGTCTCCTTCGAAAATGATGCTCAGCAGAGCATCTTTTATTAGCAGGGTTGGAGCTACTAACTGGGTGTGTGTGAGAGCCCGTCTGCCCCTTGTCCTTCCAGCTGGTGGATATGTATAGAGTAACCTGGCCCTTCTGTACGAAGGAATGGAGTCACGGATTCTTCCAAACTGCAAGATACGGCTCTTGCCATCAACTCAATCTCTCCATAAGGATCTTAAGACAGTCCCAGAGTTTCTTCCTTTGATGGAACATTCATCCTTTTCTCCTTATCCATTAATGGCAAAACACTGTTAAGCTCGAACCTGCCTGGCCATGTTTAAGAGTAGAAATGCTGTCCAGACCAGACTATGGTGCACCTCTCCCCAGGGAAAAGGGAAGGACTGCTCATTTTAGTTTACAAAAACATTTCTCAAAGAAAAACAGCTGATTATTTCAGAAGTAGCTTAGAAGAAAAGATAGATGTTCTATGCTGTCCAGAGCTAGTCACACAGCGGCAGGGTGTTATTTCAGCCCCAGTCCATACCAAACATGCTCTTTGGTTACAAACGCCAGGCTATACAGTGCTGATTCTTTGTAAAGAGTTAGGAACGACAACTTTTGCATGCCTGTTATCTTTCAAACAGCATCCAGAGCACTGACTACAGGTAGCTACTCGTTGGGGGACTATTTGCAAGTTTTGGGGATCAAACTACTTTTCAGAAAATTGATAAAAGCTTAAAAATAGATAGACCTTCTGCTCTTTATTGACCAAGTGCTCTGATTAGACTTGTAAATGATTGCACAAATACCTCAGCATGGTAAGTTCAAGTTAGAACACGGTTGTGACCTAGTAGACCTTTGATCTTGGCGCAAATTTTTTATTCAGCACCAGATTGTTCAGTCTAAATGAAGGCTCATGTCTGACTCGTTTTAATCATACAGATAATCCCAAAAGAAATGAGAAATGATCTAGATTTGACCTAAATTCTTTACCTTTTCTATTTACCCATACATGAGTGTAAACAAGAGAAAAGTGAATGTACATATAAAACATGTAATTGGATACTGCTGTTCTCCTTGACTTAACCAAGAGAAAAGTAAAAGGATACTTAGATACTACAAGATTATTTATGAAGTTCACTCCTGTAAGAAACTGGGCTTAAGAGGGAAAGGTTAGTTAGAGGAGAGAAAACAGATGCAACTTCATGCAGTCAGCAGTCATGGCTGAAGGAAAAAAATTGTGTTAAGTACGGCCAATATTTACTACGAACTTAAAAGTTGTATTAGTGGAATTCATACATCAATATAAACCAAAAAAAAAAAGGTTAGTAGCCCAAAGGCTATGACTCTGCAAATGTGTAAATCACTAACAGCATTTTAAACAAGTATTTTAAAAATCAACAAACCCCTTTCATTTAGTGCATTTGGATCAGATACTTATTGAATGGCTCATTTATTCTAAATGTCCAGTACAAACCTTGGCTGAGCACTCCTCTCTGCAACAACTTGGTGTCATTTCACTGGCTATTACTGTATCTGCTACACAAATTATTTTTGTTAATAATCTTTGTAAAATGTATTCTCAAGCTGCGACAAAGAAAACTCTTAACAGAGTACTTGTCTGAACAGTGGGACAAAAGACAAATTTGATTCTTTTCCCCCTTGACAACCTGTTTGAACAAAACGGAGGAGGAAAAAAGGAAGGATAATTACATGAGAGGTGGCAGCAGTGTTGGTTAAGGCGGTGCCATCTGACACAGCGGACATCTGGCTCAAGGTTGGGGAAGGTGTTTCAGAGCAGTCAGTGGTGTCACAGCTGCAAGTCTGCAGCTCGTCTAGAACGGCCGTGGAGGAGTCGCTCACCGTGCGGCAGGAGCACTCGCTCATGGCACAGTCTGCGCTCACAGAGGCCGCATCGTTCCTGCGGGTAACACCTTCGGAAGCTAGGAAGGGGTATTTATATGGGAAATGTGAAAGGGCCGGGGTTTTATAAAAGCGTGAAGGCAACAAATCGTCAAGCGTTGGCAAAGAATATGGTACTAGATGGGTGCCACTGTCTGGTGAGAAAGAGGCTCTGTTAACTGGTACCACAGGAGGAGGAGGAGGCAGTGGAGAAGCTTCTGTTGCTGATTGTCTGTGTGTCTGTGAAGCATTTACCTCCATCACAGGGGCAGTTACTTTCTGGTTTCCAAGCTGAGTTTTGAAGGAAAAAAAAATAAGAAAAGAAAACAGATTACCAAATGAATAAAACCTTTTCCCTTTGCCTCTTGCTGTGTGTAGGAGAATTACAAAAGCCTAGGTTTTTCAGCAGCCCTAGGAAGTTCACATTCACATGGATTAGGAAAGAAATCAGCCACACTCTATAACAAAGCAGGAAAAAAGTGAAAGAAAGGAACTCATCAAATACTACTGGAAGCAATGCCAGAAACCATAGTGTGCTGGGGATGAATATTCATAACATGCTTCATAGATTAAATGATCTCAGTTGAGGAGTGATGAAGTTCACACTGTTTTATACTTTACAGAAATATGAGACTAGTGAATGCCATATGTTCATCTGGTTTGTACAAGGAAAAAGGACTCTGCAACTCTATCAGCAGAGATGCTGTCCCTTTTTTTCCCCCATGGAAAAGATCATTTTAAGATGAACTGTCATGTATAGATTGACGAGACCGTAAGCTAAATGGAAACCCTAGAATTGAATGTTCACGCGACCTGCAAAGTATAATTATAGAGATTTTTTTTTCAGTTGACGACTGAATGTATCTTCTCCACTGCCTCACTGACAAAAATGTTTGGATGGCCTTAGAATTTCAAGCACCCTGGAAGCACCCTGCCAGCCTAACAAATAACAGTGTAAGGTTAGCAGCATTCAGCATTAGAGGACACAAGGATTAATAGGGTACCTGGTTTAAATATGAGGAGAAAGAAGGATTGGGAACAGAAGAGGAGGACAGGGATGATTTAGTATTGAAACAAAACACAGCAGTTAGGTGGTTTCAGCCTCGTTCTATAAGAGAACATTCTCATGAGAGCAATTCTGATAACACATCATGTATGGGCTTTATGTTCCCATGTTGCAAATCAGTCACAAGACAGTGGGCTAGAACTAGTCCCATATCTGCAACTTCTTCAAGTGAAGGCACACGAAAAGCCTGCTGGTATCCAATCCACGCTAAGCAGCTCTACAAATCCCTCTACACCGTCTGTCAGCCACAATCTTTCCATCAAGTTCTCCAGTATGTCAAAATACTACCCACTTCAGCACTAAGGGTTTCGCTTCTGATAGAGCTGAGGAACTCTTGAATATCTTCAGGGAAAGGATATGCAGGATTTTAAATACACATAGAATAGAGGACAGTAAGATACCACAGGCAATAACTGCCACTTAAAAAAAGTCAGCTTCTATTCAAAGACATCTCATTGTTATTGATGATACCATGCTTATTTCCTGTGTTCTGGGGTATGCAAATATCATTAATCTTTTGAAAATATTCTAATCTAAGATTAAAATGCCATTTTGGCATTTTAATCCACCATCTGAAAATATCTTTAAATCCCTTATAGAAGACTTGGAGCACAACCCAGACTGTGCTGCTTATTAGAGGTCTTTGGGGCCCAGCTCCATAATTCTTGCTGAGATCAACTGGAATTTACACAAATAGTCTTAATGAGGTAAGACCATCTATATGAATAAATACTTCAAAAAATCTTAGGCAAGTGAATGTATATCCATCACTTCCTCCAAATGGTTTGAAAAGCGCCTGTTGGGTTCTGCTAGACCTATGGAGTGCATGAAAACAGCTAAAAGCTACTGTTAAAAGCAGCAGTTATAGCAGTTTACTCAGAATGAAATGTGCTATGTTTTAAATCTGCATTTTTTTTTTAAAAAAAAAGCTTTTTGCAAAGTCCAAAAGTTCAAAGAGAGTAAGTGGTATATGACTGTAAAAGTTTTGAGTTTGAGAAAACTAATTTACCAGTGAATACTTCATCAGAGCAATGGAATACCATTAAAACAATTTAATGAACAGTGATCACATGCAGAGCCTAAACAGTTGTTTTGATAATATATTAGGGGCTTAAAATGCATGAATTTATACACTTCCATAAAAGGTAGTATGCAATGGTGCACAGTCGTTCAGCTCACAGTTAGGCAGAAAATGACACAAGATGTGAACACTGAACTATCACTCATGCCCAATTTCAGCATTCAAATCACAAATCAAGATCTCCAGCAAAAGACAGGAACCCAGAGGAACTGCAAGCAGGAGGCAGCACCAGCAGGAAGCTTTGAACTCCTTGGGACGAGATATCCTCTCAGCAATAACAGAAGTAGTTAGATGCGTCTGAGCAAAAATACCTAGATCAATATCAAAGCTTTTATGATAACAGGTAACTCTGGAGACTCGAGAAAACTAAACAAGCCTTCTGAATGTAAACTGAGATTACTGCCAGCATGCTTGAAAAAAGGGGGGACAGACAATACAGGAAAGGATATTCAGGGTGCATCCAGAGAGTAAATGAAATTAGATTCCCACAGAATTAAATATATTGTGTTTGGTAAATGGTAGCTGATTTTGCCAAGCCAAATTCTTAGAGAGAACACAATACCATATGTTAAGGAATGCAGCAATTCCAGTTACTGATTCCCAACATGAAGTTTCACAGCTTCGTAAAGTAAAACTTGAATATTTTGGCTGCTGGAGCCTTTACCCTGTAGCATTGCAAGTGTTTGAAATGGTGTCTGAAACCGGCATTTTGGCAAACAGATTCAATCATTTAAAAAATGGATCTCTCTATGAGTATTGGTAGACTCTAAATGGCACATCTGGCTATTACTAATCAATATTTATCATCACTATGAAAAATACTTGAAGGACCGGGTTGAACACATTCAAAAACTTTTTTTTTTTTTTAAAAAAATTAGTTCCTTCAGTGTCCTTCAGATGAGGTTTGTTCTTGTCATAGCTCACAAAATGCTACCGAAATGCTACCAACTGCCAAGCAATTTCATCTATTAGAATGATGTAAAATTATGTAAATTGTGTAATTAGCTTGGGCTGTGGAGCTGATAGATGCAGTTTCACTACTGATGCTTGAGGCAAAGAAATAAATTTACACACTATGTTGTTATTTAAGGTCTCGAGTAAAGCTTTTTGCTGTTTCTTATAAATTCTCATCTCCCATACAACAGTAAAATGTCAGGCCTGAAGCACACAGTATATGCACCCAAGTCAACTAACTGGACAGAGGACCCTAATACCGGTTTTAAACTGCAGTGTAGTGCAAGTTTACTAGTAACACCAAAGTGCTGGCCTTGCTTCAACAGTCAGGACACACGTAGACTCAAAGATAAATGAATTCATTTTGTTAATACATACGCAAAGTTTAGTAGACAACATTCAAATTGCACCCAAACACTTAAACAAATGGGTAAAAATACCTTTTACGTTTCATTGCTGTAAGTTGATGTCAAAATTTCTAAACTGATGCTGCAAGTTATATTTCTATATCCATTTTTATTAACTAACCCTCATATTCTAAATTCAATATAGGGAAGGTGTTCCGCAAAAGTAAAATGGAAAGTGTTCTGCACAAAGTAAAATGAGAATTGTGTGTTCAATTTTCTTGGCTTGCTGCCTGTCCACAAAGTGTTGAAGCCTGTCTCCTCTGCTTTCTGCATCACTCAGTATCGTGTCAATACACAATAAACAGTAATGTCTATATTATATAAATCTATTCAGAAACAAATTTCGGAATTCCAGGCTCATTTGAGCCAGTTTGGCAGGTCTATAGTTATAAAGCTGGCAAAAGAAAATTTCATAAGGATCCAGCCTAACAGCCTCTATTCCTCTCCATGACGCTAGCATTAGGCCAAGTGTCTGCTCATCTGTGGAAGTCAAGGCAGGTTTCGCAGCCTCAGTCGTAGAGTGCGGTGTCCAGAATGAGGCGACACTGATGAAAGCAGGAACAAAATGAAGGATAAAAATGCCAGGTGTTTACTACAGAAGATGCAGCTCAATTCTTCATCGGTTTAGAACTGGTGCTTAATAGGAGATTTGAACAACTATGTTTATCTCCAAACTCATATTAACAAGTACTAATGTTTCTGCTCATGCTGATTAGGATATTTCCCCTGTGTTTGCAGCATGCTACAGAAAAGCAGCATTGCTCAAGACAGCAGCATTATTCCAGTAAGTCCAATATTAACTAATTTGAATGCTTCTCCTTATATATTCGCCTTTAAGGGGTTTAACCTTTCTGAGTAGGAGTGTTTATAAAATGTCACTCAATGAGTCATACCACACTTCTGTTTGCTCCTAAAGTCCCAGCAGATGAGCTCTAAAACGAAGTGCAAACAGGAGCACAGACATGACAAGATACATTCCAGAACATTGCAAAGTCTTTCTGCAGGAGCTTCCTAGACCATATGGGACCACATTGGCTGTTTCTTGTTTTTCATGCTCAGCTGTATTTTTCCACACTTTCTGGCTTCATATAAATGCACCTGTACTATACATATACAGACACCCACACATATGAGCAATATTTAATCTATCTGTGCATCATCTTTACTATTTAAGAAGTGAAAATTAGCTACTCCCATTCCAGCATCCTCCAAATACATAAACTCAGTTGTGGAGGGAGAGTTGTTTGGTTTTACAGTACCTTTGCCTTTTGGGATGTTTTTGTTCTTGAGAACTTCTACAGCGGTTTCAAAAATTCCTGGTGGGCCTAATATGTAGCCTGAAAGCATCCCTAGAGGATTTAGCCTAACAAGGGGCAATTTTGAGTTGACAGCCTATGATCAGTGCATACATTAATGCTCTAAACCGCTGTGCAAAGCCCTGAGGAGCTCCCGAATCAAGATTCATTTATGAGAGCACTATTACACGTATATGCAGAAGATGATTTGTCTGTATGACACAAATTGTGAACTTCACAACTATCATGACATACAGAGCTAAGGGGGCCAAATTTCCTGGCATCAGCTGAAAGACATTGAGATTTTAACCAGCGATCTCCATCAGAAAGCTGTTTAGACGTACAGCTGTATCCTCTATTCCTAACAGTAGCCCGCAGCGCGTTGGCTTTGGGATCCCACCTGATGCATAGCTTATAACACCACTCTCATTCATTTGTGCTCTAGTTTTGCATACACTGTTTTAATGCACAGCTAACAAAACCCACTAATCCTATTGCCTGACTCTGATATCAGATACACATTCTCATTCTCATGTTTAGAAATATTTTCTACCAACAACATTGGGAGAGTATCAGCTGAATTTTGCAGGCAAAAGACCAGCATGGGATGTGGCTTGAAAAGCTGACTGCATTCCAAATAATTTCTGTAATCAGCCTCATTTTTATCATTTTATTCAAAGAACTGCAGTTGACATATTTCCAACCTTTCCCCCTGCAACAGAACCAAGGGGAAAGTAGAAAAATAAATGTGTGGAACTGTCAGATCAGCAGAGCTATTATTCTGGCTTTTTTTTTGTCGCCACATCACGAAGCTAAAAGATTCTAAAATCAAAAAAGCAAAATTTGTCTTTGCAATTTCTATGGAAAAAAGCTAGAAAAAAGTTATTATTCATCATATCGAGTTTGAATAAATATTATTCTGGATGATAAAAGATGTTTTCGTTAATATTTGCTAGCTGTCAAGGACCTTGTTTCAGAGAATTTGAGATGCACCATACTGTAAAATAGGCTGCACTACTATTTAAGTGAAAAGAAAATATATAAAGCTGTAACTTGTATTGCCACATTTCTGAGAGTTTTATTGTCTGATGGCATCCATCACTGCCCATATTTAAAATGTCTGCAAACCCGCCTCCTATAATCTTTGCACAGTACAGTCCCATCCACCAGAAAAGGCTTTTTGCTCCTTCATTTGTTTCTGACATTATTCCTTCACTGTGTCTTTCACTTGAACTGAATTGTTGCTTTTGACAAAATTTACTGAGTAAAGCTCTCTGCGTCCTGGCCCACAGGTTTTAGATAGAAAGTTATCTCTAAGTTGGATTTGGTGAGGGTTTTGAACATTTCCTTCCAGTATATAGCTGGAAGTCTCAGAAATCTTTCGTTAACTCCTGTTTTTAAACTAATAAATAACAGAAGACAAGAGCTATAGACTCTCTCAAATTTATATCACCGGTGCAAAGCAAAATGTGTGTCAGAAAATCTTGGCCTCTTGCAGGTTTATTTTTTTAAATATACCCAGATAATCTGACATGCATACGCAGGTGTGCTTATTTGCTATGATGCTTGACAGCATCTCTTAAAACACAAAATATACAGTCCCTTCAGAGGGACCTTTGACATCTTTCCTATAAAGCCTTGTGTGATTGGTACCTTCACCAGATGAACATGCTTAAGAGAAATTTCCCTGCACCAGGCACAGGATACATATCCTACAGGGTACACAGACAGACAGAGAAGATGGGATGTGCTGTGATGCTTTATATAGAATTGTTCAACTTGAAAGATTTTATTCTACCTGTTTCCTCCTAAAGCAGACAGTGGTGCTGTCATTGCTCAATGCTCAAACTTGACTCAGAAAACACTTTTTCATGGGGCTACCAAATTGGTAGAGCCACATTTGTGGAAACAAAACAAAATATAACCCTTTTTCATCTATGTGTGATCTTTCCATCACCTTTAATACCTTTAAATGAAGTCCTAGAAGGATCACTCGAACAGATGTCTCACCTACAACTCAGCCATGACCTACGGAGCATCTGCACTCCATTAAGTCCTCACACAGGAACAAGAAGTTCCCTTCCAGATCAACTGTGCTGAAATCTCTCTCTCTCTCTTTTATTTTTATTTTTTGGTAATATTCTTCCAAAATCTTGAGGTTTTGTTCAGTTCTGACTCATTCAATAGGTAGTTTTACCCAAAAAACACAAGGTCTAACTTTGATCATGTAAGTAAAACTAAACAGAGAGTTAAATGATTCATGAATGATCTAAAATAAAAGATGGAAAAGTTAAATATACCACATGGCATTCTGCAGCCTGTGCAGAAGGTGGAACTGTAGACTTTTGTCCCAAATCCTTTGAAGACATCTTTGAAGTGTCTGAAGAAATACTAGGTGGATGTTCTTGGGTTTCAGGCTCTGCTTTATTGTCAGGGATGGGAGCTATCTGAACGGAAAGAGATGCTGTGTGTATCTCAGGCACAGGGTGACAGGCAGGTGAAACAGGCCTTTGTGGAAATACTGGCAATTCAACAGGCTTAAGCTGTTGCTGTGTATTACAGTCAATGCTACTTGTTGGGTCTTGTGTCCGGGTTAATTTCAGAGCAGATACCCTACGCTTTTGAGACTGTTGTCTGTGACCTTGGTAGAGAGTAGCACTAATGCCAGCTACTGTGCTCGTGCCCACACTGGACACTGGAACCAGTGGTTTAGTGATTTTTTGCATATAGGACACACTTGTGTTAGATATTTGAGAAGACATTGTCTTCTGGTCAGGCTCTTCGTTAGTACAGCAGGCAGTATCTACAGGGAGGTGTTTAGTTGGCCCAGTTGTTACTGCCTGGAGATTAATTCTGTCCTCCTCATGATTAGTTATTCTTGCTCTCCGAAAACTTTCTTTTCTAGGGGGAGGCAGAGGTGCCTTATTTGCCAAAAGCATCCACACACGGCAAAATAACATTGAAGAAGAAGAAACAGAAAGAAAGTAAACGTTAGCAGGAAAACTCAAGATTGACTTCTACCTACTATAAAAAGAACTAAGGCCTCATCCCAACATTGCTCAACTCAGTGGAAAAAAAATTGTTCAGGTTCTTGACTTTCTGGTATAGAGTTGTAAAGCCGTTATTTAAAAAAATCAAGTATTCCTACTTGCTCATGAGAAGGGCAAACTGGGATCAGAATGGAGCCCACAATGATCTGGTCTTTTTTTTTTTTTTTTAAGAGTTTTATTGAATGAGAATTCTGCTTGTGAAATTGCTCATATATGTGCAAATTATTTCTAAAATTCCTCCATGATCTCAGCTGACAGGCTATTATTCACAGCTCACACACATACACACACAGCTTTTTAAATCTTTTGAAATAACAGTAACAATAGTAACAGAAGGAGTATTAACATTGAAATATTAATCTTTTTTGTACAAATAAGTATGCTTCCAAGCAGATTTTTCAGCATGCTCTGATTATATCATTCTGCAAAATAGGCAGAAACACTAACTACTTTAAAATTACTAAATCTTTTTCTCAGGTATTATTTTGATGACAGATACAGATGCATTTCTCTGAAGCAGAAAAATATTAGTAAATACTCTTTGACATTTGAGAATACTCCTAAAGGCATTATTTGTGCATGACCTACTTTTCTTTAGTGGGCTGTCTTACTCTTTGAAAGCAGTTTGTCTTAATTAACCTACAGACATGCACCCTGCGAGACTATAATTTATCTATGCAGTAAAACAGTTCTTGACAGCACATGTTCACAGGTGACTTACACTGTCTGCAAGATATCAGGATAATGTTCTATAGGGGTATCCCATCTGTATAGGATATTACCCAAAATTAACCCACATACAGAATATACCAAAGCATGAAACTTGTAGTCTTCAGATTACCTGAGTTGGTGATCTTTTATCCTGTAGGTTTGGCCGTACACTCCTAAAACCTTTTGCTGTGAGAGATGAACTGCTAGTGTCTCCATTCAGAGTCTCTCTACTTCCATCATACGACCTCCAAGCTTTTTGTGAGGGAAAAAAATCAAGCCATATTTAGATTAGTAGATCTATGTATTGCTATCATCAGAAACAACCTAACTATTAAACAAACTCTGGAAGTGTTTAGCTACAATTCAACAAACACTGCTGCTGCTATTATCAAGGAAGTTATGAGAATAAGCTTAAAGCTGCCATTTTCATCTTTAGAATTAAAAAAAACTCAAGCATTGTCAGGGCTGTTGACAGCAGTTTTAATGCTCTCCACAGCATGCTCACATAAATGAACTTTAAGTCGTGAGAACCTTTTGAGATTTTGTTGTTTCAGCCCTTGCATAAAGCAGGCTAAAGTACTTCCACAAATGAATTCTTGAATTTCACAGCTGTGCCACAGATTTTGAAAAACAATCCAGCTCATATAAAGGCATCTGGTCATGGCGATTTCATGACAATACCTGACTGTTACAATAATTGTGTGCCTTATTTCCAAATCTGAATGACACTTCTACCCTCTAGCCAAGCAACCACATTTTAGCTTTATCATGTAAGCTGAAGAACCATCAAGACATTGTCCCAGTATATAGACGGAAATACCATTCTGCTTCAGCAAGTTACAGATTCGAAGGCAGAATATTGAAAGATGGTGAGAAAAGAAACACATATGTGAGCAGGCTGCTGAGTGGGGTGGGTACAATATGCACGCCTGAAGCAAGAGTTTAAAAATGACATAGCAAGTGCCACTGAAGGTAACGGTGGCAAATTAGCAGCCTGTATCCTCCTATAAAACTCCCTTTCTGACAATGTGCTACTGTGTTACAGGAAATGCTGCTTCTCAAGTAAGACCTGAATTTGAGAGCGTCACCTGTAATTATTATTACAAACTTAATGGCGCTTTCTTGAAAGAATGTGGATGCATGGGAGAATTAAATCAAATAAATCATTGTAATTCATCCATTTATAAAACAGTTACATTGGTAAAACATGGATGCATAAGAAGAAAGTTTTATTTACCTGAATCTGGAGACTGAGATTCAGAACCTAAAAAAGAAACATCAGCATCAATTTGTGTTAGAAATAAAAGCAACAATAAAAAGGATAACAACATTTTCAATCAAGGAAGTACACATGGTATAAAGTTCTGAGTTCCTTGCTCATTAATACTTTGTGGTATCTTAGTAGGGAGTTTTGTTCAGAGGGCTATTTCCATAATATATATTTACACCTGGAAAACAATTTGGCTCAATACTCAGTGATCTGAGTGATGAGACATCTTTCCTTTTACTTACTGTTCTTTTGCCATGACTCTGCAGGTAGGGTATCAAATCTAATTTCATCACAGTGATCTGGTGAATAGGCTAATATCACACTAGGAAAACTGGAAAAGGTTTGTAAATCATCAAGTAAATCTTTGTATGAGTTTTATTTCTTTTTTAATGTTACAACTGTTGATCCAAACAGTAACTAATCACTGCAAACTGTGAGCTAACTAAAAATTAGTTGGGTAATAGGGACCTTGCTAGGAATTAGATACCTGCAGATAGAGATATATATACACACACACATCTAAATGCACATGTACAGACATGTGCATATATTTTTAAACAGTGCAGTAGCTATGGTTACTAAAAGAATCTACCTATGAGATCAAGGAGCATCAGTGACACTTTGCAATGGGGAAGGAAATGGGAGGAAAAAAAAAACCCCAAACCAAACACACACCACACACCCAAAAAAGCTATATTCCCCTCTTCCCTCTGCCTATACAGAAGCATTCCTAGAAGCACATCTTTCAAGGGCATCATCACTCAGTTTATTGCATATTAAGGCCAAACATCTTTCAGAAGCCAGTTTAAAGGCTTTGGTGTAATTCCAACTGTAAAAATTAATCTTGTGAAACAAGTACTCATCGTGGTCTCAAAACATCTGTTTTTTAAAATGGAGACAAATCCCACCCCTTCCTAGGAAATTTATTTGGATGATACATTTTGTAAAAGACTATACTATATATATGGGAGTTTTGTACGTCCAGGTTCCGATCTAACTCTGCCTCAGAATATTATGCCATAAGTAACTGACATTTATTGCACAGATAAATTCTGCAGGTTACAATAGTGTGCCAAGAGCTACTGTTTGTTAGTCACTGTTATCTCAGGTAGTCAGTAGGTGTTTTTTTTTTTTTTTTCCCCTTTTTTCAGTAAACTGTGATTTACTGTCATCTTAAATCTAGGTATCAGGAAAAACATCATTCATTAGGATCAGCTGGAAAGGCTTAATTCAATCCTCGACAGACACCTACAGATCCTGTCGGGTCGCCCACCACAGCATGATCCATGGGGCTTTCTTTGCCACTCCAAAGCAAAAGAAAGCTACTGTCTGACAAGTATATTAAGATTTCTTATCATCATAATATTCTTAAAAAGAATCTAAAATGATAGCATTTCTAAACAAGCTTAAAATAATTTAAAATGAGCAGTAATCTAATCCACTCAGAAAACAGTCCCCAAAGCACTAGCTATCATTACTCTTAAGTGGAAAAAAAAAATACCCAAGATACTAAGAGGCTTGCACCATATGTTAGAATGATAGAAATAGGTGATAAGAGTTGCTATGAAACAAAATTCCAATGTTTCCTAAAGTTTATATACGCAGTAATCCCAGTTACTCTTCTACTATCCTTAGAGCAGCAACCAGATTTGTTCCATGAATTCCAACTGAATTTTTATTCCTGTGGAGTTGTCTCATACTTGAAAAGATGTACAAAACAAAGACTTTTTTTTTTGCAAGTATTTTCTGACTCATCGTTCATTCATCCTCCCCTATTGTACTTGTTTGGTGCGAACGTTTAATGTTCAGACTGGTGCAGCCAGACAGAAGATAAGACTGTTTTAAGGAGCACTGGAGAACTAATTCACAGAGCTGTCAGCAGAATGGGGGAAAATACGGTTATCCTCCTCCTTGCAGAGCAGCCTTGCAGAAATATATAATGGTAGGGACAGAAAGGGCTGGTTAGTTGTTATACCTGAAGCCAGCAGGTTTGGAGAACTTTGAACTCTCTTCACGGCTGTTAATGTGACAGACATGGCAGCACGTTTGCGAGCGCACCCACCGCTATCTGGAAGCACAAAACAACACAGACACCAGCCCGGACGGAAGAGCAAGCACATGCAACATATTGCACACTGTGAGATACACCAAAACACAGGAAAATAAACATGCAGTTAGGGAACTGCTGCAGCTGCGTGTGCATTTGCAAAATTCACAGATTAGCAGAATACATAAGCTTTCACAAGCTTTAAATGCAGTAAACCCCCCAGAAAAAGAGGAAAGGAAATATTTGATACTTAATCCAGTGGATAAATACATACATTCTAGTGGTGCAAGAGTGTATATTTGTAGCTAATTACTCAGAACAAACAACTAATCAAGAAGAAGGATTAAACGTTCCAGGGTGATATTAATCAGTAATCTGCAAATCACCTCATTGTATGCATTAGAAAGACACCATTCATAAATTAAGCTTCTGTTTTATTAGCCGACAGAGCCTTTTTGTACTTTCTTTGGACCCTTAAACGCAAGGAACAAATTGCAAAGAACAGAATGTACCTTTTCGGTTTGGTAGAACATCCTTGTCCTACCTGCCTCTCTTTATCTAATGGAAATATCTGGAACCCAATAATATCCTGAGGGAATAATTAGAAATTTAAATCTAAAATCACTGTGAACAACTAGGAACATACAGAAGCTTCCTCCACAGCACCTGGGGCTTGCATGTCTCTATTTATTCTTTGCTACTATTAGCAGGTGGCTTTCCCACAATTTAGCTTCTTAGTAGCAGAAGTCCTTCAATATTCTTCCTGCATTTAACTAGAATATTCTTCTGCTCTCCAATATAGGAACCATCATTTTAATTTTCATATTCAATACTACTAAGATGTCTTGCAGGCCACCGAGAAACACAACCATCATACTGGCCCTTGCAGGTTTTTCGATGTGTGTGTTTTAGGAAGATGAAGCTTTATAAAATTAAACTTAAAAGGAGGCCTGCTACTATTAGTGGTAAGCATTACCTATCCTACCAGTAATGTGAGCCACCGAGACGTATTTAACCCACATCTCCAAGAAGAGGCAGCTCCTGGTATCTCTTGCTCATTCCAGCACTCCCCCAGCAGAGCAGGGCGCTCCGCCACAGGTCTTGCGGGATGAGCGATAAGTGGTTGTTGGTGCTGACAAACATCTGAGTCACCACCCAAGCATAAGTGGTTCTAAAATCACTGCCAGCTCTTGCACTTGATGCAAAAGCCCAGGTGCTTTCTGCCAGCAATAATCTAAAGCAAGACTTTACCTGGAATTAATTATGGGCATAGAACGCAAATCTGCCAGGCTTGGACAGCATACTTCGATTAAAATAAGCTACTAGACATACAATTTTGTTATACTGTCACATGTTTAGTCACATTAAGTTATACTTTATTTGATTGCCTTCCTGAACTTCAGAATAGATAAACTAAGGATAGAGAAAGAGAGAGAATTATGGCAAGGAAAAAAAGAAAGAAAAAGGTGTTGTTAAAATCCATCCAAAATAAAGTGCACCTTAGGAAGGCAACTTGTAGAAACGGAATTAGCCTATACGCAAACCTGTACCTGCAGCAACAATTCTCAGCAACAACGTGAACGAGCAATAATGAAAGGGAATCGGCTGGCACTGAAGTGAGATATAGCTGCAGAAATGCACCATATGGAGTAGTGCAAAATAGCTGGCAAGATGCAAATGCCTGGGCATGCAAGCACTGGAGCATCTGTCCTTCCGTCTTCGCTCGCGCCAGGCTCCCGCTGAGGCTGGTGTCTGAACGAGCATCAGAGGACCCTGCTCGCTGTGCCCAGGCTGCCAGCTTTCCGGCTGCTCCCCTCCTCTGCAGGCAGAAACCAGCACAGCCCACTGCGAGAGCCTCATTCCAGCCTGTATTCCTTTTTCACAGCTCCAGCAAATTTCCAGCAAATATTAATATAAATACTAATGCTTAAGGCTGAAAGGAAGGTCAAATTAAAGATTACCATCTCATTTCATTTTCAAACTAGAAACAATTAGTATTGCACAAGTGCTACTCTACAAACAAAAGGATCCGTCAATCCATAAAAATGCTTGCAGGTATTAAAAAAATGTATGTGTGCACATGTTTACGCATATACACACAGACTCCTTCCACACCCTCCATCCTTTTTACATCTCTTGTTTACCATAATGAATTATTCAGGGCTGGGAGTACTGTATTCCTAGGTATAGTTTCAACATTTAAACAAAGGAGATCATTAAGGGTTTGCATGTGGTAACTAAATATGAATCTGGGCAATAATTCATAAACAAAATGCACATCCAGTTCAAACTTGGACCTACCAAGACACGTATCCTTTTGCAAACCCTATAAGCTCCAATCAACCAAGGGGAAGGACATTCAGAACACCTAGCAGGTGCTGCAGAAGAGAAGGGAGAGAGGGGAGGCAAGCATTACCAGGAGATACAGCTTTCTGCCAGCACTTTGCAAAGCAGAGACCAAGCTCCCTTTCCTGAAAGCTACATCAATGGAGCAAATTTACCTTTAGAGAAGGAACAGAAGGAGCCAAGGGCCAGCATAAAATAAACATCTGCTGACAGGAGAAGGTAGGCAAGGGGTGTCAGCTTGCTCCCCAGAGAGCAGCGTGCGCGTACTTGCACGTGTCTGCGACCGCTGTCCACAGCTTTGCTCTGGGTGCCACCTACTTTCATTAGGTCACTGTTGCCTCCCTGCTTCTCTTCAGCCTTTCTCCAGTCCTCATCACCTTTCCTCACTTCCTTGTCTCCTTCCTCCCCCATTCATTCTGGTACCCTCCAAAAGTGCTGGAAGGTGCTGGAACCCCTTCCACCCAAATCCACAAGGCAACAGCTGCTCCCACTACAAGCAGCATCACCCCGAGCTGCATCCTACTTGACCAGCATCTGGGGGCAGTGGCCGAGACCCCCAAGAAATCCCTTCCTGGTGCTTGTACGGGTTGAATTGGTCAAGGTCTGTTCCAAATGAGAACAGACTCAATTCAAGCCACCACTTTCTTTTAGAAAGTATTTATTTTCAAACACCATTTCGGAGAGTCAGTTAAGGCAGCAGCATAAACTCCTGAGCTGCCACAGATGAAAGGACAGTCACCTCCTGTGAAGAAATAAGAATAAGCAGCCAGGGTAAGAACTTTGTAAACAGGCTCTTACAGCTGAAAGAAAACAGTAGCTGAACATAACGTTTGCTGATCATTATTCTGCTCAGTGCTCTCGTGAACGGTATCATTTTCCCCTTTTGCCTACACCAGGTTTTCAAATTCTGAGGTCTTTAGACCAAGGAGATTCTATCCTACTGCCCATTTGCAAACTGACTACGCAGGGGAACCTAGTATTAGGCAGTACCTTCGTGCTGCCTAAATCACCACAATAATTATTTTAAAACACCTTTTTTGTAGGAGAAGACTTGAATAATCAAGCCCCTATAATTTCCTATGGTGCTCTAAAAATGGCTTCACAATCAATTCAGGCACTCTGCAGGGACCTAATAATTTCCATTCTTGTGTCTCAGACAAAATATAACAGATTAGCCCATGTGATTCCTTACATTAATAATTTTAACAAACATAGAATGCCTGCAGACTTTCAGAACTGCATGTCTCTAACCTTGGCTGCTCTTCATGTGCTTTCTTTAGTGCAAACAGCTGACCTGTTCAATCATTTTAAAATTGGATGCATTTATCAAGCACTATCTGTGTCAAACTCTGGCCACAAATATTTACAGATGGACACAAACAATGTGTTTTTCCATGTTAGCTTATATGCATTTATTACTCTGGGATGCAGTTAACTCACACCCAGCATCGGCTTTGCATGCATATATATAATATGAGCATTAAGGACATCTACTCTGGGATGCAATCTCAAGTAAACTTCACAGATAAAGCAATTTCTGACTCATTTCCTTAAACTATCTCATGAACACAGTGATGCTCATGAAACAGGCAAAGTGCTAGAAGATTTATAGATTAAAAGGTTTAAGTTTATTTCTACATATTCTTCTGCTAATGATTGCTTAGTCTGAGTTTTAAAAGACTCCCATTCTATGAGCCTACTATTTTTAAGTTAGGACACAATTTGAACATCGAAAAGAACGATGAGCTGAAGTGCCCTCAGTACTTCTGAAAACCACCCCTTCAGCTTATGTCTATTGCCTTGCTTTTGCAAACACGCTTATAGCTGCCTTTAGCTGCTGATTTTTCCTTCCTGTGGTACAGAATTAAAATGCTAAAAAATCCCTCCCATATATGGTTGAGTAATGAAAATCAAAGCTCTTCAAAACATGTTCTCCTTCGACAAAAATATCTTCTGCAGGGCTGGCTCACACACACTGCCAAGTCTGCAGCCACAAGGAACACTGGATTAGAGGACCCCACTCCACACTGTAGATTTACATTTTCTTTTTAAAGCTGCATATGCACCAGTCTACTAGCTTTGCTACTGTCAAACACATTTATCTGCAAAAGCAATTTGCAACATACCTGACAAATCAATATCTGACAAAATCCAATTGCATCATTAGCAAATTCCTATTATAAAGCAGCAAAACATCCTGCAATTTAAAAGGGCTGCTGCAGTCTTTTTATGTTCGAAGAGAGGGCATTTGAGCAGGAGAGGAACCAACTAGAGCAGAACAATACGCACGACAGCTTTCATCTCAGCCATCTTCCCCCTTAGTAAACTGATACTTCATCAACAGATAGGTGCAAGATGTTCACTTCGTGCTGCTTCCTGGATTAGATTTTCTATCTTAGAGGAGAAATCTCAGTACAACGCGGAACAATAAACTCGGGCTTTAGAGCTGCAGTAACACAAACTAGTAATTTAGATCACTGGTGCTGAATCTGCATTTTTCAAAGTACAAGCTATAAAACGACATCTATCTCTAACTCACTCATAGCATTGCAATGCACAATCTAATTATATGTGTGATGATTAGCTGAGTTACTTCTGAAATTACAGTTCTACTAAGTAAGGAGTCTTTGACTACTACCAGGATTATCCAGGCTGGCATGTTTATGAAAAAAGTCTTCTCTAAAAATACAATAGAGAAGATTTTGAATAGTATCTCAGTAAATATAATCCTTATCAAAGCCTTCCCCAGCAGCCCAGGTAGTGCCTGAGAGACAGGAGAACAATCAAAACTGTGGGAAAAAAACCCCAAACTCAACTGAGACACCTTGTTTTCCTATTTATCAGTGTATTTATGAATGCAGTAGGTTTAAACAGCCATATATGTATTAACTTAGTATAAGAAATCCATATGAGATCCTGGTGCTACTGAATTCCAGCCCTTATCCAAGACAATAGGAAGCCAGGAAGCCCGATTTAAACGGAAGTCTAGATAAGAGCAAAGGCCCCCGTGGGAGCCCCGGGAATGCGAGCACGCTGCTGACACACCAGAACTGGCTTCACAGCTCCCTCCTGCCCTGGAAAACGTGTGGCTTTTTCCAAGTTCTCGTGGAAGCAGCAGCACTCCTGCAGATGCTGCACTGAGGGCTGCAATAACGCCCGGCAGCACAGAGCGTATGAGCATTTCTCTTTACATGCCCGAGTTAGCGCGCAGGCTGGACACGTCACCTGCGAAGGAGAGTTGACTGCAACTGAGTTTGCCGCAGACACAAACGGGGCCGGCACCTTGGGAGGCCGCTCTCTAACGGGCTGTTCCCGCTTCCAGCAGGGACAAGTGGAAGCGCTCTCATCGACCTCAGTGATGCAGGATCTAACACCAAAAAACCCACAGACCCTTCACACAACCTTCTATAGAGCACAGGACATCGTCTGCTCGAAACCACGATACTTCTATCACAGCACTCAGAATGCAAATACAAATCCCTATAAACATTAAACAATCACTCTCTTCTGATTATGCAAATGTAACTAATAATATAGGCCAGTCCTTGCATGCCCTTTAATTTAAGGATAGCAGAGAACAGAAATAAAAGCATCTCAAAGCACATGTACTTTTTCTGAAGAAAAGCTGATGTTTTAGCATCTCTTTTCCATGGCTTTCATGTCATCACACAACATAGCTTTACATAAGCCGTACATATACGCAACTTACAAACACAATTTATAACTTAAACACAAAGCTAAACATGCATGTACACTTCATATAACCATATATATTCATACATAGGAAAACATGTATGCAAATTTTATATATGAATCACACAAAAGCACATATGCAGACACCTTATTAAAACATCCTGACAATTTAATTTCATCATCAACTATGTATAATTTGTTCATGAACACTCACATAAATTTGGAACCTTCTCTGCTTATTCAACAGCATATAAGAAAAAAGAAAAATTTCACACACAGAAGCAGCATACCTGTATTCATTTTGACCCTGGAGGATTTGCTATAAAAGTCTTCAGATTCCCTGCAGAAAATAAAATGATCTATTAATTTGCACAAGACAAGAGAAGGTGGTACAAAATGGCAGTAGGATTTTCTAGAGGGGCGGAGAATCGACGTCAAACATCGACGTCCCATTTTAACAGGGCTTTAATTAAATCAGCACCACTGGATCGTCCAAAGTTAAAAATGAGCTTCTATCACAAACAACTCCATTTTCTGGTTGCTTCCATTTATAAGCGATGCTATTTTCAAGAATTTAATCCTCTGCTCTAAACATTCGCTCAGGGTATGAAGTGATTCATTTTTGGTCTTGGAACTGTGAACTGGAACGAACTCTGATAGGTACAGGAATGTGGAAATATTTTTAAAGGCTGCTTATAGGCTTTACGCCCTCTTTTATGCAAACAAAGATATAAGGAGTAAGCCTCTAACATTTTTCAAGCAGCCAGAGTTATTAGCTTTTTCCAAAGGCTATGAGTGTGAGCTATGGTTGTTTTCATGCAGGAGTTTTAACATGTTTCTGCAAACATTGACATTGTGACTGTTACTCTCCTGCCAAGCCCAGGTTTGGGGCTGTCCCGACCCCTATGGGGACCCATTTTAGAGTTGCAATCAATTTAGTAGATGAGGAACCAAGTCACTGTGCTTGACTTCCAAATCCATCTTTGCTCATTTTTAAAGAGCAATAATCTGCCCCAAAATAAGCACAAATTGCATTAACCTAGAAAGCATACCCAGCTGGAATCCCTCTATTTAGGTATCCCAACACTGCACAGCGCTGCCATACAAATGAGCAGAAACAAAACAAAAACTGCAACTGGGGAGGAAGTAGGACACCCTGCTTTTACCAAAAGACCGTTCTTATCTACCAAGGGGCATCACAGGACGAACTAGAAAAATATTTTCCCTTCTGCTGCCAGGTTATGTTACAGCTTTATCTTAGGATCAGACACTGGAATTTCTCTCCTATTCAGCCTCTCTGAGATAGTGCAGGAGCATAAAGGGAGGCGGGAGGGAAGGCCGTGACACACACAGAAGGTTTCCAAAGAAAACCCCTGGTGAAAACGCTGCTGACCGCGCGGCGCACGCTGCTGGCTGCTCCAGCTTGCCCTGCTGAGTGGGCAGACACACCAATGGCCAAAAAATTAAGGGCTAAAGAAGGTCTTTCTCCGCCTATGCTGTTGTCTGCTCAAGTTCAAGATAACACAAATGGGTAACTAGAACTTTTGAAGTAATGAAGCTTTATTTAACCCCTTTTATCAATTTCTAAAAATATAACACTACCTATGTTGGAGTAAGCCAGAACGTATGCACAGAGATCCTGTTTATAACAGAAGACTCAAAATACTGACATTTAAAACAACAAACAGCCATCAAATATCAAGGCAGATTTCCAAGCAAACTCCACGGGACTCCCAAATTAACTACACCTCTGAAGTTATAACGTGGATTACTGCATCCCCTCATACTGACACTTGAGCAACACTCATTGCTACTTGGAAAATTTAAATACTATTTAACAATAAATCATAATCCTGATTTGGAAGTGATTTTCTGAACTCTGCTGCTACTGAAAGTCAGTCTAGGGACTGAAATGACCCACGTTAAAAAAAAAAAAAAAAAAAAAAAAAAAAAAAAAAAAAAAAAACAAAAACAAAAAAAAAAATAAATAAAGTTTTATCACCTTCTATTTATGCTGTAGCTGCCAGCAAATCACTTCTGAGAATTCCCAAGAGATTGCTTAAAGATTAAAGCAAATGCACTCTTATTTTGTTTGGCTTTGATAAATTATCTTTGACTGTAACTTAAAATTTGCTTAACAGCTACAAATTATGCTCAAAGCCTCTTAATTCCTTTCTGGAATGCTTTCAGGCAGCTAGAGGAGAGACTATTTTCAAGCCTTCCTTTAAGTTGCAGCTGAATCACTGATGATACCACAAAAACAAGCTATAAAATACATTTACTCTCAGGACAGCCAAGCACTGAATTCTTGGAACAGTGCATTGCCAGAAGAATTTCTTGCAGGTGGCTTCAGCATATTTTACATACTGTGTTTAACTCTTACTCAAGTCTTAACAAACTGCACCTGCTCTTAGCACAACTTTGCTCTCCACAGGGGCTGTTCTACCTGGACAGCTGACGCTGTATTGCTGACACTCGCAGGGGGACTGCATACAGGCCACTAGTATTCCTACTTCAGCTTGTTCTGCAAAAGAACAAATTAGCCTTGCAAAACTGAAAAATGTTGCCATATATGCATGCATATGAACTGCACTCACCCAAACAGGCAGCCTGGCACTTGAATGAACAGTCCGAGCTCACCTGCAACGATGAGGGATTTGCTGCTGGTAAAGAGCTACTGCAGCATTCAAACACTTAGCGGTGCTAGCTGGAGGGCACCAAGAAACACAGCACTTCAAGTAAAACTGAGAGGGGAATAATATCAAATTATCAAATTTTGCTTTGTACTTGTGTCTATTTCCTGCAAGCTGTTCTGTGCAAATTACTTTGTAGACGGCTCTAAATACAGACTCCCTAAAACAGGTGAGATGCAATTTCTCACCTAAGTCTCTACCGAGCAAAGAGCGTGCCTACCAACCAGCTGTAGGCAGCCAGTTGCCGTTAGAGAGCTACCCCCACAGCGGAAGGAATGCCCCTGGCTATAGCGTGGCCACAAAGCGCTAGCAGCATCCAGCAGTTCGCCAGATCAGAACTGGCTCTTTGGCCATCTGGGGCAGGTAGCTTCTCTGCCAAGCTCACCCCTGTCCTTAGATGATGAGGGAAAGGAGCGCCAGCTTTGCTGACTGCAGCAGCATGCCAGCTTCCCCAGAGCAAGACCCAGGATCATCTTTAGGACTTCAAACACTGGCACAAGCAATGGAGGAGACAGATGTTTGCCCTAATGCGTGAAAAGGGGTGAATACCCCTGCAGGTTCCACTGCTATACTTTTTCTAAAGGCTATTCCATGAAACCTGCCTATCTCTTACAAACATCACAAAGAGATTACCTCAGCTCAGCAATACTGTGCAGTATGAGAGATCACTGAAAACCTTCGCAGGACTCTCACCACCACCAGTCCTATTTTCTCAAAGGAGACTGTGAGAGCTCGTTGTGATTGCTTCTTCTGTTTGCGAAAAGTCCTGAACTGTGGGGTAACTGCAGGGAGCCATTCTGTCACCCCTTCTGTTCCACATTTATAGAGCTATAAAAAGGGTTAGTGAGAAGTCCTGAAAATTTCTGCCTCCCCCAGTATGTTCCTGGATGAAAGCTGCCTATCTCCACTGCTAGAAGTTGATTCCCTTTCTGATGAGACCTTAGAGCACCCAGAGAGCTCAGTAAGAGCTCCAACATCCAACTTTAGTAAGAGGAGCATCTCTCATGTATTAAAGTGCAGATGGATCAGTACAGATGTGTTTTCAGATTACAATAGAAGTTGGCTGGAAAATTACTGATTTATTTTTTGTTTATTAGATCAGGGAGATCTAATATTACAAAACCTGTGTTAGCTGGTTTACCTGGGATGCAAAGAATCCCACAGGAGAAGCAGAGGAGATCTTGGCCTATCCCACAGGAGAAGCAGAGATTCTTTTACAGGTGGGGAAGGGATTGCTAACAACTTAGAAAGCTTGTTTAGCAGGGGGCCTTGTAATTGATTTCTGCCAGGGTGAAGGACAGTAAAATAGAGACAAAAGCTGGATATATGATGAAGGAAAGGAAAGATCACGGATACATGGACCGTGTTTTCTGCTGTGCTCTACTAAGTTACAGTCAGGACTAAAGAGCTGAAAACCTTCCAATTCCACAGTGTTACTAAACTGACTTAGGATATATCAGACCTGTAGCACACTTGTCCTAGCAAACAGAATATCAAAATCACTACTCAGGGCACTGGTGAGATCTTGTCTTGAGAATAAGCAGCAGCTCTCACTGCCATGGCTGCCAAGGATGTGCTCCTTCTACACAGACACTGTGGAGATCACCAGCAGTAGAAAGGTGTGTGCACCTGCACCATCCTACTAGCCACCATTTCACTTGTCTTAGACCTAAGCTGAAAATCAGAAGGTGGTTTCCAATCATGACAGCTATAATGCCTGGGGCACTTGTGTGCACTGGAGTGCTGTGGTCAAACTTAAAGATTATGTGAAAAATGTGGTGATCTCAAAGAATGGGGCAAATCTGATGACATAGGAACTCTGGACAGAGCCATAGCTGTTTTACCTGTGGCATTTTTCGCTAAACTAAGAAGGTGGTTTCCAATCATGGCAGCTATAATGCCTGGGGCACGTGTGTGCACTGGAGTGCTGTGGTCAAACTTAAAAGAAAGATTATGTGAAAAATGTGGTGATCTCAAAGAATGGGGCAAATCTGATGGAACAGGAACTCTGGACAGAGCCGTAGCTGTTTTACCCGTGGCATTTTTCATCGAGGTGGCTATAAAGCCAAGACTCCGAGACGCTGTCATTCTGCCTTTCCCTGTTTCTTCATGAAACACAGAAAAACTATTTGATGGGAAAGAAAAGCAGTCAAAGCCTACAGGAAGACAACATGTTTCTAAATTAAGACCTCTTTACAGCAATCTTGGCTATGACATACAGAATCAGTAGGAAAGGTTTAAACAGATATGTTTAAATTGGCAACCTCAATTCAAACTAATTACCATATAATTGTGAAGGCTTTTTATTACATTTTTTGAGCACTTCGGTGAAAACGTTCCAGCCAACATTATTGTTTTATTCTGAGAAATAAAGTAACAATCTCATGTTGTTAATGCATGTGACAAGCACGGGGAAAATAGTCTTGACAGTCAAGATGGCTTATTTACAAATATTGCACTATGACAGCAGTTTTGAGTCAATCTGATTTTCTGCTTTCTTCAGGGTCTGGCTTGCTCATGGAAACTAAGGGGCTGGTGATGCACATGCAGGGCTCTTCAAAGGGAAAGCAGAAAGCAGGAGCAGCAATGATTTACAGATTCTGCAGTTTGTCAAAAGAACTTGAGGCTGAAGCATTTCCTCCTATTA